ATTGATGGATCACACACAGTGCGACATTGTGTGAGGAAGTATCCAACACTTGGACAATATGTACTTCAGATTGCAAAGGTATGATAAGTATGGTTTTGGATCATGCATGTGATTTTCCCATCACTGCCCACCGCTATACTCGATGCATATAGCAGTTACGCTTTATTGTACTGTTGCAGAATAGATTGGACCATATGTTATATGTTGGACTTACTGAAGAACACAAGGAGTCTGCAACAATCTTCGCCAATATGGTTGGTGCACAGGTACTCTCCCAATCCCAGGTAAGTTTAATATAGCCAAGTCTCCTCAAACTGGAAACAGATTTACTTTTGTACACTTTGCTGTAGCTTGATTATTACATGAACACGTTTGAACCTACTGGGAGTACTGAAAGCAGTACAATCATCTCTACTTTTTTGTTTATGAAACTTTTTAGCTATTTATTTACTACTATCATGAATCATGGCCGCATGAAAACAGTAGACATACCACATGTATGTGGCCTTTAAAATGCTTTAGCGTGGCCCCTTTCCTGCTCATAGCTACCTTTAATTTGTACCATGTCACATTCCTAGTTGGTCGGGAAACTTGTTCTATTGTTGTAAGGAGCCTTCTCATATAATGTCATGTTCCATAGTCATGCCCATTTTGATCGTAGATGTTGATAAAGATGATATTGACATCATGAAATCCTGCGAGGATAGAGAGGAACTTTCAGAACTAGCTTTGTCTGTGGGTTTTGAGTAGTCTGGGTTTCTCCATCTAGTGTGCGCAAAGTGTATGAGTCTGCTGGGCTCATATTATATGTTTCTACAGAAAGGAGAAAAATAGTTGGTTTCAGTCAACTAACGTACAGGTAGGTTCGTCCCTGTAACCAGGCAACCATGGCAGAGGTTTCACGCGTCATGTAGTTATGGAAGAGAGGCAAGTTAATCATGTTATGTCAATTTATTTCGGGGAAGGGTTCATAGCTTACATAACAGAAATTATGTCTTTTGTGGTGTAAATAGTATTTCATGTTGATATGCATTCATCTATACGTACTGTACGAGTACGTATGCACTGATATTTGAGTTGGAGTCACCTTGATGTTCAATGTTCTTTCTTATATTCCTGTCAGTGTCACGGGCTGTTTGTTTCGCATCTTGAACTAGGGAACTTGATGGAGTGGGCATGCTCTTTGTAAAAAACCAACATGTTACTCAGCGGTATGAATGAGGCTAATATGGTTGTTTGTGTAATACAGAGCATGTAATGCACATGTCTACATGTTTTATAGTCACCACCTTAAATGAGATTATGTTGATTATTGTTATCTGATTCTGTCCTTCACATCCTCTGAAAATCACTATTTTTGTTCCATATCTGCCTGCATTTGTGCAATGGATATAGTTCCAATTTGTAGAGTCGTTGATAATTTGGCATCCAGCACAAATCAATGCCCCCAACCGCCCAAGATAGAAAATAAAAGGAAAGAAAAAAAAGAAAAAAAAGAAAAAAAAAGAAAAAAAAGTCCCGCCTGGTGTACAACACACGTGCGCGCACACATACCCACACACACTGAAACACTTCATGCATGCACACAAGAAATAAAACAAGAAAACAAACAAAACATTGTTGGTTTTGGCAGCTGATTTGTGTGCGAGAAATTTGACTCTAGAGCCCAGTCACTGATTATTAAAGTTCATTTGTGCCTCCTGAAGATCTCTGTCTGTATATGCAGTAGCTTTACACAGTAATGATTTTAACCTTTGAGCTAAACTAATGAGTAAAAAGGTCTCACTGGCATAGGCACAGTACAACTTAAATTTTGCTGGAAAAAAATGCAAAATTCTCATTTCATTTCTTTCTCAAAGCAGAAATAAACTTTGCTGGAGAACCTGAAGACGGACTAAATCAGGATCAGGTATGTTTAGTTTGATCCACTGTTCTTACTAGGATAGTAATGCCTTTGAGTCATTATTATTCACGTGTGTCCATTTTCATGATAGCATAGCATAAGCAGTGAACAAGCTGAAGGAGTCTCTTCCCCGACGGATGCCAATATAAAAAATCAAAGTGTAAGTGATTTTTTCTTCTTTTTCAAGTTTTTGAAGAAATTTGGATTTACCTTGCTTTAAATTTATTCTTGAATTGCCCATAGTTTTTCTTATGCACCCTTCCCTCGTTAGCTGATGTATTTTCTTCATGTTTAGCAGATGACAGTTGGACAACTGATGGATGCCTACGAAGTGTGTATATCCTCTTTGCGGAAATCACAAGGTGCTCGGCGTACCATGTCTTTGAAAAGAATTGCTCCTGCAAATTTTTCCAAGGAGGTAGGTTGTACTTAGGAATTATAATTAGTTATGCAATCTTTGTACCTGCAGATACTCATTATAAAACTTGTGCTACCTATGTGGAACAGTCATTTTATTGAAGTTAAATTTGGGTTTGTCAGGCACGTGTTCGTGTTCCTGAAAAACTTCTGCAGGAGATACTTTCATTAAACAGTCTTGATGTGGAGCTCTACAAGCATGCTCAGGGTATCTTCCTCCAACAGCAGAAACATCTCATGCAAAAAAGTGGAGAGATTTTAGACCACCGACGTATTCAGCTTTTACCTGGGCCGGTTAGTCCTGCCTTTTTTTAATTTAAATAAATAAGCGTAATCATACACACGATGTTCAGAATTCTATTATTAAGAACAATATCACCACGGAAAACCAGACTTTTTACTTGCATGAAGTATTGAATTACTTTCAGAATAGGATGGCTATCATGTAGTAACTAAGGGGTCCATCTGGCAATAATTTAAATAAGAGGGATATAGTAGTAGTTAGCCATTCCTTAACCAAGGGATTCAACTGGTTAGCCATTAGGAAAGATTCGTTTTAAACACTCTTACTCTTCTTGAGTGTTTGGGAATAAAGAGGATTAGTACTACTTTCTTTTTAAATTAAGGGGTTTTCTCTTAACCTGTCTAAAGATGTGGATTAGCAAACCCCAAGGGGGACAGTTTATGGGGCTTAATCCTTAACCCCCAAACAACTTAATTTGATCAAAGGGTTAAATTAGTTAACCCTTTATTTAAATGGGTTAACTAATCTGCACGAGGAAGAGGATTTTAGTCAGCTTCCTCATCGGGGTAGTGCAGAAAGAGAGACTATGCTTAAAACAAATAATGCCTTATTGAGAATATATCATATATATAATATAATATACTATAATATCATATATAATATATAATATACTATATAATAATATAAAGTTATATATATATCATAGATATATACTATTATTATATCATATAAGATTAATGGGTATCCTTGTCATAGCGAGAGAGATTTTCCTCCTATGACACCTCTAAAATCACATGATTGAGTGCACATTGTGGATGATCGCGGCTCGCGTTGAACTTGATCTATCAATATTCTAAAACCCCAACAACACCAAGTTTGGGGTGAACGGCCGTCGTCGTGTTGACAACCTCCATCAGGCCATGTGAAAAAGTTCTATTCATTCAAAATTCGTTAAAATTGATACGAGGTGATGAGGGTAAGCGACGAGCAGGGGTTCAGCGCCCAACTTGGTGTGTTGGGGTTTTAGAATATGTAGATCAAGTTCAAGCGGAGGCGGATCATTGCACGATATACTCGCTCCAATCATGTGAATTTTAGAGGGCGATCATTAGTGGAGGTAAATCCCTCCTATGAAGCAGGTATAACCCATTAATCTGCATATATAATATATATATATATATAATAATATACTAATATAACTACTATAATGGCAACTATTTTATCATTTTTTAGTAGATAATTTAGGATATATAACTATTTTGGGATTTCTATAGTAATTAGTTTAGGGGATTAACCTTCTTAATACTAATGTATTTGCCAAGCACAAAAGTTAACCCTTCATCTTTCTATTCCGAACAGAATTTAGTTATATTTAATACCTCATCATGGGTTAACTGAAGTTAACCCTTCTCCTTAAACCTCCCTTCTTAACCCTTGTCAAATGACACCTGAAGGATTAACTCATTTAACCGCTGTAAAATAATTGTTTAAACCCTTTCATAATTTTTGTGTTTGGCATTTAGGGTGGGTCGACTCACTTTATTGTCTGTGTTAACTTTTTGTGTTTGGTCAGCTAAGGAGGGGTTAACTCTCCCAAACCCCTCACTTAACCTGTTGCCAAAAGACACCTAGGTGGTAAGAGAAAGTCGGTCCGACTTTGATGAATGAGCTGGAAAACTTTAGCAAACATTAGCAAACTCTAGAATTTCCTCAGCTAGAGTTGGACTTGCTGCAATTTTTCATGATATACTCGTAACAAAAACCTGTATATCTTTCAGGAAACACAAGGCTGGCGTGTTAACTTGCAGGGGGCTGCGTTGCGGAGGGTCTTTTCTTTAGCTATTTTAACTTTCATGTTCATTCTGGCATTTATTTTAATTGTAACTGCAAGGAGGAGAGCATCCAAACTTAAAGTATGAGCATATGGAAATAGCAGTCTTTGGGGAACAATTGATGCGATAGGTTAATGGCCTCTGGTTCCAGAGCGGAAGCTTGTACATTGTATCATTTTGATACTTGTGTTCCCCTGTGTACTGAAGGGGAAAGCTTGTGGGCTTCTGTGTTGTATATGCTAGAAGCTTGCATGATAAAATATTGTGATTTGGAAGAGGTTGAATATAATTGTCGTAATTTTCCTTAACCCTGTCAGTTTCCTTGCCCTGAATGTACTCAATTTTTCTTATTTTGTTGTGTTATGATCCTTGTGCTACGCTGTTCATGCTTCATGCCAAGATTTTGCTTGGGTAAGGAGCATAGAAATATTAACATTTCGGACGGTGCCAATCAATCTTATGTTGCTGATGTGGATTTATATGGAAGTTTTATGGCCAACAGCAGTAATGATTTTAGATCTAGAGGATTTCCACGCTCAATATTTGACAGCAAGGTCAACCAATTTAGGTGCGGGCTCAAGATCTCGTAGAATACATAACAACGTGAAAGAAGAATACAATTTCGTTGCAAGACTGAAGCTTCAATTGGAAGGTATTAACCTTTACAGTTCAAATACAACATAGCTATATAACATTGAACGTGCGTATGGATCCTGCTTCAAACTGGAACAGCAACGAAATGGAGGAGTATGTAACGCAGCAGTCAATCTGCAAGAGGTAAAGAAGCATTTGAACGAGTGATTCAAAAGATACAGACGGTGTGAACGAAACAAAGTGAGGAAGCAACAAACACCTAGAGCTATTAACTAGTACATAAAGGCTGATTTGGAGGCATCCATATGGTTTAAACGACAGGTACCTTTGAGGACTTTAGGGAGCTCATTTTGTCTTTGCTCATTGCCGTCTTTAGTCACCGCTACTGGCTACATGCCAAGGTTTGACTATTGTTGAATACGAGGAGGGTATAATTCCCATAATGCCACCTTGGTGTCCTCTGAGCAAGAAGCCATCAGCTTGCAATCAGGGGTGAATGATACTGCATTGCACTGCAAAGAAGGGAAACTATGAACAATTACCATATGCTCCAATTTATAAAGAAAACTTAATAGTTCGATACCTTAACCAAATTCCAGAATAAGGAAGTCTATAACCCTTGAGTGGATGTGATCTTTTAACATAGCGTACACTATGGACAGAGATTATAGAACATGCAATAAGGATGCATGTATGCGTATCATATTGCAGTACAATGGAAGGAAAAGCATGATTAGCCAATCACCAACCACAACTTCAAAAAGGTAAGTTTAGTATTTTGATCAGTGGACTGGTGTCCCGGTAAAAAAACATGTCATGTCAATTATCTGAAGTCCAGGATGCAAATGCAACATTCTATTTGATATGTAATACCATCATTTGAGATTGTTCGTGTATGCTAACAGAGTAAATAAAACAACTGGTTTGACTGAGATTTCAATAGCTCCGCACATTCTTTATAAGAAAATTAAGTCATACAGGTTTTAAGCGAGTAAATAAGTAGCGAATGCAAGTGGATGGCATGCATGCCATATTGGATACAAAAAGAGTGAAGTGGCCAATTCGCTGGTCTCCATTTATTGGGGGGAAAATCAGGAGAATGATTCTAACTTGAACATGATCAATACTTAATCTTATATACTGCTAAAATTACATATTTTGATGAGTACAGGACAACAAACATGCAAATGTTACTTAGTGCTCATCGCCTAAAAGGATAACATGACGAAAACCAAAAATAAATGACCATACCGAAGCACTATGATACTTCAGCACTGCAAGAGCATTTCCTTTGCGGTAGTTATAAATTCTCACTCTGCCATAATATACAGAAAGAAAAGATTAACATGAAAATCCTAATACTGTCAGAAGACTGATACTTGGAAAATGACAAATCAAAAAGCTTTCCTTATCCTTTAGGTGACTACATTCTTGGAAAGAACAGAAGTTTGTGATTTTCAAATTTAGAAGACAAGAATGAGCACAACTGAAGAACATTTCATGAAAAACTTATAACGATGGAAGGATAACCCAAGTTTTCGAACAAATAAAAAGCACAGAGTTTTTTTACGCATTAAAACCATTAAAATAGTAAGAAAATAATATATGACAAAAAGATTGCACGTAGAAGACTAAATACATGGTACTTTATGCCACTGTATAAGAAAATTTATAGTACTTATCAAAAGATGTTTTTATAATGTAATTTTTCATCATCAGTTGGTAACAATGGATAAGAGAGTGCTTAAGCACGTGAATAATTTCACTTTAGACATCTTCTCATCATCAGTTAAATATCTTGTACATGAAAAATCTAGGATATAGAAGCTGACCTATGGTCCCATCCAGCTGTTGCTGCAATTTTATTGTCAGCTCGGACTGAGGTGCTTGCTATGCCAGGTCGCTCCAAAGTTATTTCCTTTTTAATAGTACAAGAGCCCTGAAGTGAAAGAAAGAAAAATATAGCTATCGAATTGAAATTTTTTGTAAAGATATGTATTTCTCTCATATAGATATAGCACAATTCATGTTAACTAAAAATGTTTCCAATTGACACCGAGAATAGGCATGCTTGACTAGTAATGACTGGAGAAATTTCAGTATTAATTATGATTGTAATTGCATTATTAGAAACTTTAGCATTTTGATTTTAGTAGAACCTAAAGGGTGGTGGTGGCCCAATGCACAAGGCTCCCATCATTGTGGGCTCTAGGGAGGATCAGATGTATGCAGTCTTAAACCCATATGCCGAGAGGCTGTTTCCGATATTTGAACCCTCCAAGTCACAAGGAAGCAACCTTGCCATTAAGCCAAGGCACAACCTCATTTAGTAGGAGCTTTACTGTAGAATTATTTATAAAGGAAAAGTTATTGATTTAGACTTTTATTTAATCCTATATAAATTTGGATCCTTTGGGTCTATAAATGTCCGACATCATCCCTGAGGACAGATTTTCAGGGACATATCTATGCATAGTGCTTCACAAATTATAAGAAGAAACCACATTCCAGTGAAAGCATTTTACAGGCTCCATCAATGAACAAAACTAGAGGAAACTAAAATTAGGTGATGGTTCTTTACTAACAGAGCAAAAGATGTCAGAAACCTGAGCCCAGAAAACTAAGGCGAGGAGCTACAGAAAAGGAAGCAGGTTAAAATGGATACTTGAAGCTTGATTACATTTCTATCATAACTTACCGTTTGATGATTGAGGGTAAACATCACAAGTTTGTTGTCAGCAGCTCCAGAGATGCCACCACTACACTGACCATCAATTGATATGCTCAAAACTGTAGACATGGAAGTTAATTAAATGCCATGCGGATTACTCAAATATTGATATTACTTGGATACATGGTCTTTAGCATTTCCATCTTTCTAGACTACAGAAATGAGAGTCCTAAAAAATAAGGTGAACAACCTGCTTCAGAATGATAATTTACAGAGGATACTGGAACTTCAGTCTTTCGTATATCCCACCAAAGCATGCTTCCATCTTCGTAACTGTTAGATGCAGAGAGTTCTGTTATAATCGCCCCCCTCTGTTCTATAAGTATATGTATAGGAAAAGTACACCTATCTTTCAGATAATAGAGACTCAATTACCCTCATTTTTACATAATAGAGACTCAATTAGGAGACACATGAGAAGACGTACCCAGTCAAAATATTTAGGAATCCTTGAGATTCAGATGGTAAAAACGCTTGAACGGCCATACACATTCCTGCAGTTTATCTCTAAAATGATAGGTGTTAGCTAACATAAAAGAATAAGATCAACAAGTATATTATATTCATCAAATTTTAGTTTTAAAAGACAACACAACATCAAAGGTCGTGTCACACCCCAGGGCAATACCTAATCTTAGCCCGAGAAGCTCAGTTTCTCACTCACTCACAGTGCATGGGATCAAAAATTATTTTCTGTATCTCAATTTCTACCCAGCTATGCGTCTTCCAAGGTGCTGATGTGGTATTCCCATAAAAACTAGGAATTAGGGAAGGCCATTACACATTTATGTCCTATAATGGTTTTAGTAGCCACTACTGACCTACACAGAAATTCAAATTATTATGATAGCTGACCATACTTGCAGCTTGATTGTCCTCACTAGGGAACGAATCTGGTATGTTAATTATTGTTGTATTAATATTTCCCACATAGCAACACAAGCATAGATGACACTAAAGATATATTTTTTTCATACACATCCATTCATTTCTTCTGAATTATTGCATCCATAACTAAAATATTTGTCTTACATAGGCCTCCAAGCAATTCCTTTAGGCATAAAACGTCCATCTGACGTTACAACTTCATTATGTTTATTTGGTCTGTTCGGGTGAGAACAGGAAGGGGAGGCATCTGATGCCGCAATACACCATAACCTATATAAAAAGATCCAACTTGTCGAACATGATCCGAATAATTCGAAGTAACTGAACATAAAAGGTTAAACATATTTCGAAATTTCTTGTGAATGAGATTGCCCTAAACTTTCTTATACCAAGGTGTTTAGATTTGTGGTTTAAAATATCCCAATTAACTGTAAGTTGTTTAGATTTTAATAAAAAAATCAACAGTTTGCTTTCTTAGCTCATAAGGGTCAAACTGTTGATACAGTTAATTCAAGATGCTGATTTGTAGCAATTATTTTGCAAGGTGTTAAATCAAAGGGCCAAACTTCCTCAGATGTTGTTTTTTAATTTTAATGTTCCAATGTATGGTTTTATTATGATAAAAAATGAGCTAAAGTACGAACAACAGTCGAAGCACAGTCAACTATATAAGGATCAGATGGGGCAAGTCCTACTAAGGATGAATTAGAGGTACAGAGAGGAGGTAGGTTAAGTTCACAATTCGAGAATCAAATCATATGAGAAGAAAAAAGCAGGGAGAGGGAGAATGAAGAAAACAGAAATGATATCCTTTTATATTAGAGATCTAATGTATTTTTATCACGCTTCTGCTCCCTCAGTATGCTCCAAAAATGGTACAGAAGTCCAACTTAATTGAAAAAAAGACTTTGCTTATTTAACGACGGGAAAGGGTTTTACTACAGAATTTAAAACAACTCCAATTCAGGAGATCATGTGTAATTGAATTATAAATTGTATGATTTTCCCCGTCTGACATAATATCATCTGGGTTTCAAGGCTGTTTTGTCCATAATTTTGTTGGCTTTGAAATTGGTGGAAACCAACTGGTCGGTATCAGATAGGAAGCCATAAAATTTGGTCAATGTCTCATGGAGATTTATGAAGCATAGATGATCTGTTTTGAATTGGAGAAGGCTTGACAATTATGCCAATGATTATAAATTTAAATAAGTAACACTGGAAATAAATATAGCCTCAAGCAAAATAAATGGCTAAAAGGAACGTAACTGATATAATTGCCATGTACATATTAAACTAGAAGATTATGAGAATTGGAAATGGCTTGACACAGTGGAAGATTATTCTCTAACACAATCCTTAATATAGTTGGAAATGAATGGACAAAATGGAAGATTATTCTCTAATGTTATATACTAACATATCTTTTTGTGACTACGAGAGATAAAAGGTGAAACACGGTTTCAATGGGTAAGATAGGTAGTACGCAGATTGAATGGGGTGATAGGGAAACTGGAAAAGTTGTGAAACAGAAGACAACGCCATGAAACCAGCAAACATGGTAAACGAATTTTCAAAAACAAAATGATAATTCCTTGAATTGCAAGAATTTAAAACGATCCCGTTTGGCAGGTACATATTATCATTTCCTGTTAGACAGATGTAGTGACTAAGACGATACTCCAGATAATACACTAACCAGAACCAATAAAAATTCCTCTGAGAAAACTATGCTCATATTCCCGAGTTACAATGAACTAACTATTACACTTACTAAAAGAGTAATTTCTATTCAAATTCCTCACAGCTCAAGCTCAGTTCCAATAGCTGGAGAAAGAGAATAAACCAGAAGGACAAACAAGAGACAAATATTGCCAAACAACAGTTGAGCTCAACTGAACTACAAAGATAATTTGAAAATGGCTGACTTGAGATAGTGTCAATCAAAGAAATACTGCTTGCACTACTAAAATACAACTGTTTGGTTTGCAGCTAATAACAAAATCACAAGCATACCTCTTTGCTTTGCGGAGCTTCCCACATTGCACTGGGGAAAGCACACTAACTTTTTTGCAACACTGAGGTCCCAAACTTCAACCTACCCATATTGAAGTTAATCATCAGTGCTAAGTAATAAATGAATTAACCAGATTAGTAATCATAGTAAACAAGGTACACCACATCTATTTGGTTGTATGACTATTTTACTTTTTTCTAGACACAACTTGTAACATTTCTTATTCATCGTTTTAATAGACTAATCACCTGAGAAGAATCTTCACCCGCAAGAACCATTATATTTTGTCTAGCATTGGTGAAAGTGCCTGGAGGAATTACAAAGCAATTAGAAGCCAGTTCTTGAAGTAAAGGTATAACTTAAACCAATTAGGTTTTATGCTAAGGAGATCCATTGTGGCAGCTGTTTTTCCAGTAGACAATTGATAAAGAGAATGAGAGATGCAAAGACATGAGAAGAGAGTCCTACATATGATATGATTTTCATTGGTTTTAAAGTGCCTTGTCCGATATTTGGGGTATCTTAGAAAAAAACAACTATCTAGCAG